TCGTAATTCATTTGCAAGGCGGTTCAACATTAATTTCTATATTGAATCCTTTGCTTACCGCCTTCTTTTTAATATATATACATATATTTATAAACATATATTTTATATAGAGATAGATAGAGTACCGGGTTTACCTGGAAAATACTTGTGTTGCGTGCGAGATATCGCGTTTTATATATATTTTTTTATTTCTATCCATCTTTTCGCTTAAATTGTCAGTTAAGCGACTTTCGAAACACAATGCCGCGACAAAAGCAAAACTTTACACGCACGAAGTCGGTATTTTGTGGGGGTTTTGGGATCAGTATTCGGGGGGATTCCCATCGTGCTAGGTAATTTGCGATGGGAACCAAAAAACAAAAAAAAATTAAAATTAAACAGGGAAAGATGCGACATGATCCCAGGAAAATGCGTGTGTATTTCTTTTCCAGCTTTTCCTGTATTTATTTACGCAATTTTCTATTTAATTTGGTTTTTATTGAGGTGTTATTTGAGGTATTTCCCCTTAAATTAACAGCTTTCAATTTATTTGAACTATTTTTGTATTCAATAAATACTTGATTATTGAAAGCATTATAGTCACGAATATTGTCGAGTCGGAAATGTGATTATTAATTTCGAAATTACCTGTAAATTGATTGTTTTGGTTTCGTGTAGCAAATATTTTGTTTAAAGGGGATATTTACTTAGAGTTTTAAGGCTAGAAATTAATGAAAAAATAAATTTTTAAATTATAATATTAAATGAATAAAATAATTTTGTGCTTAATGTATATTTTGTATTAAAAATGCACTATCTTAAACCAATAATTTTTTTGGTTTATTTTATTTCATTAATTTCTTTTAATTTCATTATTATATATTCTTTTTAAAAAATCCTTTCCCCCTGAAATTAATAAATTCCAAAATATATCAATATTTAGGTTATGAAATATTTCTTAAAATGTATTTTTTGATATTTTTCATATACAAAAACCCCTTTACTTGGCTTTAGCCCACCAAAGTTCACACTTTTCCCACGGTTCCTTTGGCAAAAGTGCCAAATGAATGACCAAAAAACAAAAAAATTTCCATTCAAAAAAAGAAAAGTTGGAAAATGCAATGTTCTGAATGTGATTTCCTCTCCTCCCTCACCTGTGTTGACCCAGTGAACTTTTACCATGTGGGAGCGGAAAACTCCAAAAAATAATAAGAAGAATAAACTGCAATTCAAACTGAGAAGGAGAACTCAAAAAACAAAAAAAACCAAAAGCAAAATCCAAGACTCACTCCCCAAAGTCTGGCCAAAGGGCCGGATGTGGTTGCGTAGAAAGATCTCAGAGCTCAGAGCTCAGAGTGGGAGCTCAAGTTGGAAAATATGTTATATATATGAAAAGACAAGGAAAACATAAGAAAAACAACAAATACAAAAAAAAGAAATGTCAGCGGCATGCAAGGCAACTTTCTGTTTGTCCAAAAGACCACCGCTACGGGTAACTAAAAATAATAACAATAATAGTACATAATACTAAGTCAAAATGCCAACTTCCGAGGGCCCCCCGAAATGTCATTACTCCATTTTTTTGTACCACAATTAAAAGGTGGATGTTGGGGTCTCCGGTCTTGAATCTACAGTCTTCAGTCTACAGTCTTCAGTTTCAAGTCTCTCGTCTCTCGTCTCTCTCTCTTGGTGAATGTCTTTCCTATCTCTCCCCAACTCTCTATTCAATTTCATTTTGTTTTTATTTATTTTTTAATCTTCATTTGCAGACCTTTCTTCTTGATGTTTACTTTTCTCTGGTGTTTGGGTCTCTTCTCTGGTTTAATGTCAACTTCCGTGGGTATCGAAGAGAGGCTTATCAATAACAGGGAAAGATATATCCGGGCAAGAACATACTATATTCTTGGATTTTATAAGGAAGAAGGAAAACTTAAAGCGACACTAGTATGCTGATCAATATTATATCAAAAATATTGTAATCGAATTTCTAACTATAAAAAAATACCACATTGAACCATTAAAAATCGTAAACCCTTGAAACACAGTGAAGAAAAATCCTATATAATACATGGAAAATTAAATCAGGCTTAATATTATATCAAAATTACAAGGTAAGCCTTGAAATTTAGAATTTAAACTACAGAAAAATATTACATTAAATATTTAACGTTTAATTTTAGCCAGAAGCTTATAACTTGTGAAGAATCCATTTCCGACCCTATAAATAATATATATTCTTGATCAGCATGAAAAGCCGAATCGATCTATCCATTTCCGGAAGAAAAATAAAATTTTTAATTTTTTTTCAAAAATTTATCGTTATTTTTACATCATTAAAAGTTTAAAAAAATGATAAAAATTTAAATTTATATAATTTTGAAAATAAGTATGCAGATGTATTAACCTAACAAAAACTAGCATAGAACAGCTTTCCGAATTAAAATTAATGCATTTTTAGCTTAATTATGCGTTTTTAACATTTTGATTTGTCGAAAAAATTTCATATAAAATATAGTTAATATCGATTAAAAAATGGTATTTCATCTTCAGTCAGAAGCTTAAAAATAAGTGAAGGAGCCATTTCCGACCCCATAAATCATATATATTCTTGATCAGCATCTACAGGGCTTTCTTTCTAGCTTTATCCGGCCGAAAAAAATTTTTTTCAGAAATTTCCCATTTTTCGGAAAAAAGGAAAGGGGTGAAAATTTGCAAAAATCGGCCAAAAATTCACATTTTAAACTGAGTATGCAGTTTTGTTAACCTGCTAAAAATTCACATACTGCCGCTTTCCGAATTGAAATTAATGCGTTTTTGGCTTAGTTATGAGATTTTTAAAATTCGATTTGTCGAAAAATTTCATATAAAAATATTGTTAATATCGGTATAAAAATGGTAATGGACCTTCAGTCAGAAGCTTAAAAATAAGTGAAGGAGCCATTTCCGACCCCATAAATCATATATATTCTTGATCAGCATAAAAAGCCAAATCGATCTGGCCATGTTTTGAAGGGAAAAAATTTTTTAAATTTTTTTTCGATATTTTTATCATTAAAAATGTAAAAAAATATCATCAAAAATTTGAATTTTAAAAAATTTTAAACTGAATATGCAGATTTATTAGCCGAAAAATTACAAAAATAAAACTGTTTTCCGATTTAAAATTAATTCATTTTTGGCTGACTTTTGGGTTTTTAAATGTGTGATTTTTCCATTAAAAAATAATAAAGGTAAATAATGATTTTTCTTATTTTTCCATATTTTCTTGATATCTCCAGAAAAAAATATGGTTAAATTATTATTTAAAGTTCTTATAATGGAGATATTTGATATGACATTAGAAGCTAAAAGATATATGTATATATTATATAATTATATTTATATTAATATATATAATGTAATAAATATTTTATTAATTATATGTATTATATGATTATAATATATATAAGTAACTTTGGAAACCTGAAATATTAAATATGTAAACATTGTTTAAAGTTATATTAAAGTCTTTTTAATTCGTATTTTTACTATTTCTAAACGTTTTGTTCTATTACTTATTTGGTTGTTTATAAAGAATATAGTTAAAATATTAACATACTAATAATTACACACTATTATTACACATTATAAATATGTATATTTAAATACCTACTACTCAGAAGTAAAATAATATATAGATAATACATATATCTACCTTTAATAAAGGGTAAAACTACTCAGAATTAAAATAATATATGGCAACATACATTATAAATATATTTAAATAAATATATTTCTATATATTATTATCTATATATATTATCTATATAATAATTTAATTCTGAGTAGTTTTACCCTTTATTATTTCTTTGATTTTCTTCAAATTTCTTAACTATTTTTGCATATCCTTTCTTTCCCTAACTTCTACCGGGTATCTCCTGGTCGTGGCCTTCTTCTATATCTGTATATTTCTTATATTTCTGTTAATAATATATATCTATATAATATATATCTATATATTTAAATATATTTATAATGTATATTACCTAGATATATATTATCTATTTATTATTTTACTTCTTAGTAGTTTTACCCTTTATTAAAGGTATTTCTTTGATTTTCTTCAAATTTCTTAACTATTTTTGCATATCCTTTCTTTCCCTAACTTCTACCGGGTATCTCCTGGTCGTTACCTTATTCTATATCTGTATATTTCTTATATTTCCGAATATTTTCTTCTGTTGCCAATTTGTTGTTTATTAAAATTCGCATGTCGTCGAATTTGACATACGCCTGTCAGACCCTGGAAATTACTTTTATTTTTTTTCCACCTCACTTTCTCTCACTCACTCTTTGGAAATGTATTTTTTCCTCGCTTTTCTTTTGGAATATTTGGATATAAGGATATATAGTAGCATGTGCAGGGCGAGGTGATACTGGCAAGTCCATCAATCATCAGTCACATACATACATATACATCCCTATATATCCAACTCTGAGCTGCGCACTCAACGTAACATTCAAATCAATCAAAATGCGACTGCGACTTGTAACTGTTCTCTCTCTCTCTGTATTTTTATTTTATTATATGAATTTTCCAGGAGGGGGTGGTGGTGGGTGGTGCTTGGGTGGTTTTTATGCAAAACGTAAATCTAATTTTTCATCGAATATGTTATAGTTCCTTGTCGTTTCCTGTTGATGAAGTCGTTCAGGGAATAATGAATAATGTGCATAATATGGGATGGAAAATAATGCTCACATGGCGTGCTTTGGAAAATTTGATTTTGAAAAGCAAAAAAAAAAAAGTACATCCCAGAATGCTTTGGAAATTTAACTTGGTCTAAATGTCACATTTAAGTTTACCTGCTTAAGCATTCCAGCAGCTAGGAATCATTCTATTCAAGCCTTTCGAACAGTTAACAACTTTGCTCTCTAAATTTTTCGTGTGATAAAAAAGTGAATTAAAAATTTCTAGTATTGTTTTTTCAAGTTTTCCAGTTTTTTTTCAATACAAGTTGTTTTTTTTACGCTCTCTTAACCGCGTGTGTGTATTTGTTTAATTTTTTTGGTAATATTTTAACAAAATTTGTAAATCAAAAGAAGTAATGAAAGGTTTTTTTTCTTATAGATCACCATGAAGTCGTTTACCGAATCCGTTCCTTTGATCACAATCTTTGCCCGCCGCCAGCTTCATGTGGGACGGGATTTCCCCCGTTTTTCCAAGAAGATTGGCGGTGATTCCAAGGCCACCACGTCCACGGATGATGCTTCCAAGGATGGGAACGATAGGGATAGGAAGCAAGTGAAGAACATTCGTCCAGCTGTACCCAGTTACTCCAAGAATGTGAATGATTACACCAAAGTCTCAGCCGCCGTTCGGGCCTCCTGCCCCCTCCGCCTCCTCCCTGAGGAGGATATAAAAAGCCTCATACTTATCCCCGAAGAACACAGGAGCCCGACGGCGGCTGAGACTGCGGCTTCAACTCGGAAAATTCCCTCAAATCCGAAGCGCAGTGAACTGGATCAGCGGAAATTGCGAAGGACACAGTGTGCCAAGGAGCTGAAGGAATTGGTTATCTACAAGAAAGCCAAATCGGCGGTGACCATCAAGTGTATGCCTTTTGTGAAAATTCCCCAGAATACCAACAATGAGCAACTGATGGCTCAAGAAAGTGATCCTCTCAAATTGGCCAATGCATTTATAAGTCTCAGGACAGAGCTAATCGCCGAGAAGGCCAAATCGGATGCCATCACTCAAGACTATCTGGAATTGAGGAAACAATTGTATCTCAAGGACAACGAACTGCTGAAGGCTGCACTGGAAAAGGAGCAAAAGGCTGGAAAAACCCAAGCTTCTTCGTCCTCTACGAAAGACGAAACTGAAACCGAAAAGAAGTGAAGGGTTTTTTTTGTTGGAACTACGGACAATATCGACTTCATCGACATTTTAAATTTGATGTATTCCCCAAAGCCTTCTCGACAATATACATTTAATTGTTGACAAAAATGCATCGAAATTTGATTTGATTTAATAGCATTTAAATTTTCAGTTGCTAATTTCAAGAATTCGTCGTATTTTATATTTTGAAAATACTTTTAGACGTTTTTCTCCTTAACCTACTATGAGTATTTAAATTTTTGTATAAATACTTATAGAACATTACAGTTATATTTTAACAAGGGATCCTTTCAATATTTTCTAGACATGTATGTAGCCCATTTAACACCTGGTATATATTACCAATGAGCAGTCAGTAACTCTGAACAGTAAGTAACTATGATCCAATAAGTATCAATGATCATTAAGTAACTATGATCAGTAATTAACTATGATCAGTAATTAACTATGATCACTAAATAACTCTGAACAGTAAGTATCTAAGACCAGTAAGTAACTCTGATCACTAAGTATCTATTAACACTAAGTAACTATGATCAGTGATAAGCTATGCTCACTAAGTATCTATAACCAGTAATTAACTATGATCTGTAAGTATATATGATCATTAACTATCTATGATCAGTATGTATGTATGATCAGTTACTAACTTTGAACACTTGTAAACAATGACTTGCAACTTTTGTAACACAACACATTTCTGAGAATAGGCCAGCAGCAGTCACTTCGTTCCGGGGATGTTTGAACCAGTTGGGAATCATAAGCACAGATGTGCGAGGTTTGTTTTGGAACAAAGAGCAAGCTATTTGAAGAAAACTATGGAGTTCTTCTTCTATATAATTTTATTAATATATAAGTCGGAGCATAGCAAATCGGTGGAATATATATATATATACATACAGACATACATATATATATAGCTGACATTGGAACAATCGGACGATTTTAAGAAAAATATTTATAACTTTTCCCGTTTTCAACAGATTTACATTAAATTTAATACATATTAATTATATAATAATCTAGAATTTTTTGTGAAATCTTATGAAAATTGAACTAATATATCATATAGATTACGATCGTTAAAAATAGAGGAAAATGCAAAACGGTGAATGAAATGAATGAATGTCTTTTAATACATATATATAATTATCTATATTATATTGTATTAATTTCTAGTGATCGTTGTAATATATTTTCCACATATCATAGAATAATTTATGTAGTATTTCTATATTTTTAACTTTCTATTAATTAGTTAATAAATATTAACACAAGGAATAATTATGTATTAAAAAAAATGAATAAATATAATTTATATAATATTGAATATTTATTCATTATTATTTTTTAAAACATAATTATTCCTTGTGTTAATATTTATTAACTAATGAAATTCATATAAATTAGGTGTTAATATAAATAAAAGTTTTTATAATATTTTTTATAATATATTTCCCACATTTCATAGAATATTTTGTGTAGTATTCATATTAATATATTATTTTCTTTTAGTTTTATTATTATTTATTCATCCCTTTTACCTAGAACTAATTTCTCTTGTGTTAATATTTATAAACAAATGAAAATCATGTAAAATATAGCTAAATATGTATGTAAAATATTTCCCTCACTTGATTGAATATTATTTGGTAACTCAAATAAATAAGCGGATGTTTCCCGACCCACAGGATGTCTTCAATTCGTATCTGTATCTGTATCTGTACTGTACCGGCGGCATCCAAATGAGAATGTATCTCTAGCCATATATTGTGTATCTGAATGTGTGTATCTGCATCTGCGAGAGCATTAGCCTGATGCAATGCAATGCAATGCAATGCATTTTTAGTGTAAGCAATAAATTTACTTTTATTAAAGCAAAAACGAACCAAATTCTAAAGAATTTTTCGCGTCTTGTTTTGGCGTCTCGCCGACAAACACGACAACGCGACAACGACAACGTCGACCGCATAAATTTAAAACCACCTACACATAAATTTTCTAGCTAGATGATAGCGCGTACTGCAATATAAAAAGCGAAATACAAATAATAGAAAAGAAAAGAAAATAAACTGCAATATTCATTGCACTATTTGCAGTATTTGCAGTGTGCAACTGTCAACTATTAAATGACATTTAACATGCCCACCGCCATCAGCCTTTAGCTCTATATAGCCGAGGGTGGATAAGACACACACCACACACACACCACACACACACCACACACACACTAGACACACACCACTCCACCCCCTCTATACAGTCATTCCCATTCCTAAAATATCACTTCAGATTTCAAATCAAGTCATCAACAAACAGCCGCCGTGCGCCGCCACAGTGCCTGCCACTTGCCACTTGTTTGGATAATTTCAATTATAATTTATATGCGATCATGGCGCTATTTTTAAACAAGTGACAACTATGGAGGATCTATGGTATTCCAGGGGGGAAAAATACTGCCAGGAAAATCGGTTAAGCTGGGAAAAGTGAATGAAGAAGGGAAAAGCCCAGAAAGGCCCTAGGCAAGGGTTCCTCTTGAAATTCTGGAAATAATATGCTTTTGGGGGTATTTTGAAAACTAAATAGCACTACTTATATAATATATGCTTAAATATTTAAAGCTCTACGAATTTGTTAAGCTATATTTCTCTAAAAAAATTTATTTTGTTTCTATTTATATTCTAGTTATAAATTATATTCAAAAAATATTTTAAATCTGAGTTACTGAGGAATTGTTAAAGGTTAATTTATGACACCAATATCCTCAATATTTTATTCTAGAAAATATATAATAAATTAACATATATTTAAGAGAAAATATAATTTATAATATATATAATTTTATAATAAATTAACATATATTTAAGAGAAAATATACTTTATATATTGATTTTTTCTAAAATATTATATACCTATTAACCTAAATAACTTAATAAATAAAATTATGAAACTTAAATTGTTAAATTATTATCTTTGGGCAAGTCCTAGATTTTTAAATATCAAAGAATAAATTAACTTCAATTCGGAATTGAAAAATTTAAATAATACACGGAGAAGGTACATTTTTATCACTTATTTGTTTTAAGATATTATTAAAATTATTTTAAGAAATTTAATTTAATTATTTTCAGAAATTATTAAAATTATTTTAAGAAATTTAATTAAATTATTTTCAGAAATTATTAAAATTATTTTAAGTAATTTAAATAAATTTTTTAAAGAAATTATTAAAATTATTTTAAGAAACATAGGACATAGGGTTTTTTTTATTAAAATAATGTCTTTAACAAACTTCTTAGGCCTTTCTTAGGCATTACATTTGTTTATTTAAAACATTAAAATAGTTTATTTAATTAGTTTGTATATTTCTTTACTTCATTTAATTGTCTAAAAATTTCCTTGACTTAATTTAAACAAATTAGCATTACACTTTGTACCCTTTTTGTGGCCACAAAAAGAAATGCAAATAAACTTTATAAAAAAAACTTTCCAACTTAACTTTCAGGGCGAACTTTGATCGTCGCTTTGATTTTCACGCAGAAAGAAAGTTTTGTGTTTATTTGTTGTGTCTATTTTGTTTGTTTTTTTGGCAAATCATAAAAATGGCGCCATGGTCATGGATCACAGCACTGCCAGAAAAAATAGACCTTAAAAAATAGACCCCAAAAAGAGCTCCAAAAAGAAACCCAAAAGTAGACCAAAAATAAGTCAAGTTCCAAGACTCGTACAGTCGCGGCTCTTTGCTTGGTCCCTAGACTCACTTGTCATTCAATCATTCCATCATTCCATCATTCCCTCAATCATTCAGTCAGTCAGCCAAGCGTCTCCATGCCCAAACTTGTCTTATCTGCAACTCTGCTCACCTTTGCTTCCACCTGCCCATTTTTTCTTTTTTCAAGTGTGCGCCATTTTTGAATTTCGTTTTCTGGACGAATGCCTCTAATATGAGTTAACAAAAAACATATATATACATATATATATATATATATATCCACAAAAAAAAATAGAGAAAGAATGTAAAAGAAATGAAAACATTTTTCAAAAATTTTATGCTCATTGTTAGTTATAGTTTTTCCTACTTCTTTTTTTTGGGGGGTTTTTGTTTTTGGCTAATTAGCGTGGCCCCTGGGAAATGGATATGGAAATGGAAGTGGAAATGGAAATGCCTCCGCCCGCAGCTCAACCTGAACCACACATAATCCCACATATATATATATATATGTAAGATATATCCAGGTTATAGCCGCTGTTTTGCATAAATTAAATATTTTTTCGGTGCGCCGACCATTTGCCAGGTGGGTGGCTTTTTGGCCCAGTTGAAGTTGAACTTTGGGAAGGTGAGTTGAGGGCATTTTGGGAATCTCAAGAGTTTCAGTTTGGGAGGGAAAAAAAAATAGTGGAAAATCGGACGGGGTGGAAAATTATGAGTTTGGTGTGGGTTTCTGGCTGAGAGATTCCTGACAAGACAGGGGTTAATAATAATTATTCATATGCCATTGAAGATCATCAAGTGCGGGGAGATTATAGAAAGAGATATACTAACATATATAATATCTTTTGGGTTGGAAAATATATAGATTTTAATAGGGTTATAGTATGGGTAAATTTTAGAAATATAATTCAAACAGATTCTATTTAAATTCTATTCTTTAAGAAATATATTCAATATTTTTGATAGTTTTTACTTAAAATCTGTTAAAAATATAGTTCCAAATTAATGGGGAATTGTTAGAAATTTATTTAATATAATATAATATAATATAATATAATATAATATAATATAATATAATATAATATAATATAATATAATATAATATAATATAATATAATATAATATAATATAATATAATATAATATAATATAATATAATATAATATAATATAATATAATATTACATTATATTGTTATATATTTTTTATACATTTTTAATAAAAACTTCTCTATATAATCCTTTTATTTAGGATGATAACCAATAATAATTCGAAGAAAAATAATAAAGCAAATAAATACATATTAAAAAAGGTATTAAAAAAGGTATTAAAAATATATATAAATATTTATATAGTTATTTAATATGCTGTATAAAATGTAGTATATATTATAATTTATTAT